AAAAATTAACTGACGTTTCCCCAAAACACATAGACAAGATGGCCAATATATTAGAGCAAGTGATTGCAACTAGAGGCAAAAGGTATGATTAAACTGAAAATGGCTGTTTCAGAAAACAGGCCAAATTGAGATTCTTAAAAGGAAAAAAAAAAAAAAAAAACAAGGTAATACCGCAAACATGACTGGGAGAGATGTCCAGCTTATACCTTTCACACAACAGAACAATAGCTTCAATCATCATGTTCCTAACAGAACGGCCCTTATGAGACAGAAAAACCATGTTTTGTGCAAAAGGACATGATCTAGCTATCTCTAGAATTACTTTAGAAACAAGCTATGCTATGGTCTGAATATGTGCTGTCGTCCACCCTCTCCCCACTGCTGCCAGAATTCATGTTGAAATTCTAATGCCCAATGTGATGGTATTAGGAAGTGGGGCCCTTGGGATGTGATTAGGTCATGAGAGCAGAACTCTCATGAATGAAATTAATGCCCTTAAAAAAGAGTTCCCTTGCCCCTTCCACCACATGAGGATACAGCAAGAAGCCGGCAGTTTCCAATAGAGGGCCTTCACCAGAATCCAAACATACTAGCACCCTGACCTTGGACTTCCGGCCTCCAGAACTGTGAGAAATACGTTTTTGTTGTTTATAAGCCACCTAGTCTGTGGTATTGTATTATAGCATCCCAAACAAACTAAAATAGGCTAATAAAAATCTATGCTAGACTATTTCTAAGAAACAGTATTTGCAAAACACTGCACGTCTCAAGGCAAGAACCACCAGAGAACCGAGATACAGAGCAATTCACCTAACCAAAAAATATAACTGTAAAAAATAAACTATGCTTGAGAATACCAATTGCTATCATCTTTTTCATACTAAAGAAAAACAATTTCTTCATAACGTGTGCGGAGTAAAGAAACTTTCAATAAAGCAAAACCTTAGGTAATGGAAACAGTCAACTTGCTGCCCTTTCAAAAGGATAGGAGAGAGCCTACACAATAAGATACTTCTAGGCTGAATGGCCCTTATATCCAAACTGGTCCAAAGATAAAAAACTAAATACAATCAAGATAATAATGTAGTGAAAGGGATTAAATGTCCCATAATCCGCCCAAGAATAAAATCATTTGGCTTAAGGTTTTACATTTGTTTTAAATGTTTCTCTGGTCAAGATGACTTGTGAGGCTGAAGGGGCAGAGACTCTACTCTTCCACATCCCCAGCCACATTGACAACCATAGATACCAGGGAACAGCTGAAGGTCCTCAGGGGTTTGGTAAAGAGGGCTCTGATTCTGGGTGAGAAGGAAATGGGTTAGAGCCTAGTCCAAAAAGATCCTGGACTACTAAACCCAAAACCAGGAAGAACCATTTTCACTCTCTAAAACTAACCTCAAATAAGTTAGCTTCATGACTAATTTTTAGCCAGAACTTTTGATTTAGAGAAGGAATCAGCAATCAAAGGAGTCCATCTCTGATAGCCTTTCCTCTAATTTTTGAAAGATACTTTTTGCCATCTTGATGCGGGGATCATTTGTATGGGGTCTATGACTTGGCAGCTCAAGAGCTTAAACTAATCACTATCCATTCCTATTTAATAAGTTTTCAAATTTAGAGTCAAACCTGATATCACAACCACCATGAAGGCTCATAATGGTTCTACCTCCTTGCAGTAAATAGCTCCAGACTATCTAACAGGGTATAAACAATGTTTTTTTTTTTAAGGATATAAATATTTTGATGTGCCAGAATCATCTAAAATGCATACCTCCCAAATTAGATATCTGTTCTGCCAAATGGCTGGTGAAGAAGAGCAGACCTGAGATAGCTTTGTATGAGGTATTATCTGTCTAAATTGCTCCTAAAGAGAAAATAATGGGAATAAACAAGGGGAAACATCCAAAAATGCCATGGAATATAGAATGCTGTGTCAGTGAACTGCTCTGGCCAGATGAGACAAGATTTGCATGGAGTATGCATGGGGGGGAATCCAATAAATTCTAATACTCACTGGAATTAGAAGTCTTAACCTCAATTTTCATGTCAATGAAAAATTCCTTTTTCAGACAATGGGAGAGATCAGGGAGTTAGCAAGCCAGACAGAAACAAACACTGAGCCAAGCCAGGAAGATGAACTTTCTAAAATCCTCCATTGGCAGGGAAAAGAGGCTAAGAATCACTATAAACTCTACTAGAAAAGGAAAAAGATTCATTTTTCAATTAGTATTTATTCAGCATCTATGTATCAGGCACTGAGGTTAGAGGTACTAAACAAAACAGACAAAAACCCCTATCCTCATGGAGCTTACCTTCCAGTGGAGGAGGGGAATAAAATATACTGCACATTATATGGTGATAAGTGCTCAAAAGAAAAAATAGTGAACAATAGGGAGTGTTGAGAGGGATGGCCAGAAAAGGCTACACTGAGGAGGTGACATTTGAGTGCTTCTGGCCTAGAATGCTTCGCAGTACACTTGATGGACTAGAACAGAGGTTTAGCTCAAGAAATCAAACTGTTTATACTCATGGAATATCCATGTGTGTTATGACCTTGCAGGTGTGATTGTCACTGTTCTTCAGAGACAGTAAAATAAACTATTCCCTATGAGGGTAAAGTTCAAGAAAAGAAAGTAGTGTGCATTTTCCCAGTTAAATAGATAAACACACACGTCCAAGAAAAATCTCTTTGAAATGTTCCCAAAATAACAAAGGACTAAAAAGGTATAAACTCACAAGGACAAAAAAAAATAGAAGAAACAAGGACAGACAAGAGGCAGATAAAGTAAAAACAAAAACAAGTGAGGAGCTTACACAGCACAGAATTTTTATGTGGGAATACCATCGTAAGAAAGAAAGTACATGGCAAGATACAAGGAAGGACAAATCTATAGCAAAGCAGTACTGACAAGCATCTCAAGCTAAATCAAAATGCCACAAGAAAAATGTAGAGCCCACTCTGGAAACAGAAAACCCTACAGGAGGACTTTTTTTTAATGTGTCAGTGCCACACAGGTAAGCAAGAGCCCTGGACCCCTGGAAACTACAGTCTTGCTGATTAATGCCAACTGGAGGAAGTAGCAAAGAGAACTACAGAACCAGACTTACTTCAAAGAAAAGGGTAAATTTAAATTAAAATTTCCTTACCTTCTATACCTGTTGGTCACCAAAAGCCTAAGCTAAAAACAAAGATAACTGTGATAAATCTAGTTTTATCTGGGCCCTACACATAGCGTTGGAGGAAGTGGCTAAGGATTGGGATACCTCTCTTTCTTAGTCATACATAACTTTCAAAAACAGAGAAAGAACTGAGAAGCTGAGCATGAGCAACCTCTAAAGTATGACCAGTAAAGCAGGGAATATAATTTCTCTGATAAGTCTCAAAATCTAAGACATCTAAATGTTGCAAAATCTTCCCTAAGACAGCACACCACCTAACAAATAATAGCAAAAATTCTTTCCATTCTAGAAAAATCAGGATTACCCTATTTTCTATCATTCGTCCTGTCTTTCTATAGAAGCCGACCATTTCCTCCAAATGCTCAATGGAAATAAAAAGAATAAATTCTATTTAAAAGGTAGGGAGAATAATAACACTTTCCTATGATACATTTTTTTATATCTGCTGTACTTACTTTAACATAGTGGTCCCCAACCTTTTTGGTACCAGGGACCAGTGCTCCTATGAGAATCTAATAATGCCTGATGATCTGAGGTGGAGCTGAAGCCGTGATGCTAGTGCTGGGGAGCAGCTGCAAAAACAGCAGCTCACTCACCACCTGCTGTGCAGTCCAGTTTCTAACAGGACACCGACAAGTACTAGTCCATGGCCCGGAGGTCAATGACCCTTACTTTAACAGACTATTGTAAATATAAGATAAGGTATGTATCAAAGTCCCTTGAAAAGGTATTTTTTAAATCAAGTTCAAAAAAACTAAACATCTCCATGTTTCGAGAGTTCACACCAAAGATTTTATTATAATTTCGTATTTGCTTACTTATTTTCTGCTCATTATAAGACTATTGAGAAATAATTAAAAATTAAAATAGGAATACTAGAGAGAACAGAAACTAATACAAACACCACGGGTAACAGTGACAAATATTTCTCATAAATATCATCTCAAATTTTATTATTACTGATAAAGTCTTAAATGTACAAGCTGGACACTTCTCTCATTTCTTAATTTAAAAAAGAAAACTTGTAGGGAATGCACTCATTTCATCTTCATGGATATTCTCCACAGTTAAAAAAAACTTAGTAACACATAATATAAATTGATATATGTCTTACCTATTAAAGATTTGATATTTTCTAAGATTAAATCACTAGTAATATTTCCAGATAAATCTTGCCCCAATTCAGCAATCAGCTTGGCATAACCTTCATTCTCTTCTCTTAACAAATTGAATTTTTGCTGCTTATAACTGCAAGTAGATAAACATCATAAAGGGGATAAAATTAATTTCAATTAGCAAGTTTGCATAAGACTCATGTATTCTCATTGAATTTTCTTATCTCTCATATACAATAATCATAAAAATATCTGTTGAAAGTTTACCTCATTGTGTATCTTTTAGGTTAAAAATAACGGTGGTTCATAAAGAGATACCCCAATGTTAATTTCACAGGGAAAACCAGTAACCCAAGGAAAAGATATTGCTAATCCCAAGGAACAATAACAAATCACTATTTCCATCACTAAGAGACTAAGAACATACCCTAAAGTACAGCCATAGTTAATTTAAAAGCACTGAATATTAACTTCTAATATGGAAAAAAAATTAATAGTGGTTTCACACAGGTAACATTTACTGCTGACACAATCATAGGCTACTTTTAAAAGGAAAAAATACTGGACACATGCTAACAGCAACAAAACAAAATCTTCAAACTGCCTTTAGAAACTTCTAGAATTCAAAGTAAGAGTTAAAACAAACACTTAGGTACCTGATTTGCAACATAAAGACGTGTACTTACAAGAGTTTTGTCTTGATTTTAACTGACTTTTGATTGAATTGCTGTGATTGTTTGATCAGCCCTAATGATTCCAATGTTTCTGGATCCAGGCGTTCCTTTAGAACTGTGTCTGAAACTAAATACTGTATTAAAAAATATTAAAGGTGATATATTACTCAGCATTCTAACTATGTATCTACAATCTTAAATATACTCAAAGTGATTATAAAAATATTAAAATTATATTCTATATATCAACTTACAATTTATATTTAAAAAATATAAATATCAGTTCAAAAACTTGGAACTTCAACAAAAATGACTCTCCAACTACTAAAAAATATAACATATAACTCTTTTTTAAAAACTCGCTAAAAAAAATGTATGCTGTACACAACCTATAAATGGCAAGAACTACAGGTGAAATTCTGATTAAAATTGAGTCTGTCAATAGAATTTTCTTTAAGATAATACAGCATTTAAACCTTCTTTGGTTTCCACTAAGTCAAATAAATTCTAGTACAACAAAGACAAGGACATTCTTCCAGGTCTGAGTAAAGGCATTTCTCCTTGGTTCTAATTATGAACATAAAATGTTTTACTAGACAATAACAAGTTCTAGAATTTATTAAACTACCTCCATTGTTTTTCTCCTTGCCTAATAGTTTATGAAAAATTTTTCAGTTTAAAAGCTGCCCACACATCATTTCTACTCATTTGATTGATCAGGAATATCACTGAAGGTTTTATATGTATGGATAGTTTAAGTGATATGGTAGCACATCTATTTCATAGAAATAATTAGCATACCTAATTTTACAAAGCATCCATTTCAAAACCCAAATCTCATCGTCCAGTGAATAGTCACAGTCAAGTGAATGCCAATATCCTTCTCAATTAACATAATTAACTGTGATTACAAATGTTCAATGTAATATTCAGAAAGAAAAAGTATTTTTTTAACTTACCAAACACGCTAATACCAATTGTGTAAAATAGTCTCTCTTGCTTTTTTCTTCTAAACAATTTGTCTCAATATCTATAATGACGAAGGGAAAAAAATTAAAGTTTGATTTTTCTAGACACTCTCCAGTACTATAAGAAGTTACTTATTTTCTTTAAAACTAGCTTATTTAAAAATGCCTGATTCTGAATTTGGGGAAAAAAAATTTAACTAGCAAGTATGAGCTGTCCTTCGTATACATATGAATGCTTAGCATTAATTTCTTCTGATACTGGAGATGACCCTATGACGAATGGCATACCCATAAAATGATAAGTTGATTACACAGGAGCTATGTGCTGGAAGTAGCAAAGTTTCAAAACAATACTGTTTTCAGAAATGGAAATAGTCAAGCAAAGTTTAAAGGACCAATATGTCAGAGAAGCTAAAGAAGAGATTACTTCCTTAGGTGGAAAGGTGAACTGGGTGACAATAAAGATCTCTTCCAACTCTAAAAATCTTATTACTCATGAGATCAAACCCTTGATGTTGGCCACCTTGGTACTATGTACCATGTTTTAACCAAGCTACCTTGCCACAAACTCTATGAAAAGACAGTATTAAAAGATATTAACATCTTTTGAATTACAATTCTAGGTAGCAAACAAATTTATTCAAGATTTTTGTTTTCTTCCTACTTAAAAAATGTTTAAAAACTGAGACCTCCTTGAGTTTCAGTAAATTATTCAGAAAATTTGTCAAAAAATTTTCTGAAATATGGAGGAAATAAAACGATTAGCTCTAAATGCCAGCCATCAAAATTTCAACCAGGATTGGCAGCATTACAAGGTTGATCTCAAGATCATTAACTGATTATATACTATTATCCTATTTTTAAAGTCAACTCATAATTTAGAATGTGCTATAGAAAGAGGCACCAATTTTAGTGATATAATAAAAATTGTCCTCTAAGGGTGTAGGGTTCCCCCTAAATAGATACCTACCACTGCTTTGCTTCATTTTACCTTCTAGTGCCATCACTGAGAATCAAAGAAGAAGGGGATTTATTATCAAATATTGACATTTTCCTGGCTCCTTCTCCACTTTCCCTTTTTGGACAGTGCTATTTCCCAATATCCTGGCCACTGTAGCTGAGCATACAATCAGCTCAAGTGTATTTAAGGAATTTCAGGTGTAATTTATGCAATATAAATTGCAGTACAGTCTCAATCTCTCAATAAGAGTTTTAATCTGTATATATATATATCATCAATCTCTTCCAGAACTCCTAATTGTCTCCCCGCTACCCCATCTTCTGATCTTGGGGTTAGGACTAAACTGGGCCCATTCTTTTAACCAATATCTCTCTACCATCCAAGACCCCTAACGTCCCTAAGATCTGCCTCCAAGGTTCCTAAAATCAGAGCACCTGGGTGGCAGGTTCATCCTCTTCAAGTCAAGTCTGCTCTCCTCTTAGCCATCTGACCTGATTAAGATATCATTTTCTGTATTCTGACCATGTTAGGAAATACTTAATAGAACCTCAATAAATTTCTTAGCTAAGCTATCTCAACAATCAATACAGAACTCTATTATCCCAATTATGTTTTCCCTGTTTTCCTAATCCTTTTTGTCCTAATTCATGAAACCATTCTAATAAATTCATTCATTACCCCGATTCCTCAACCCTGAAACAGTATCTAATAAGTTCTCTTTAATTTCGCCTATGATTTTACTAAAAAGCCCTCAGCCATTTCCAACTCTAGGTCCCAGCATCCCCAACCACCTACCCAGGTCAGAGGTCCCATTAGCGCATCAAGTTACATCAGACTCCCCCTTAATAGATCTCGACCCTTACCCTTAAATGGTTTAGAAAGACAACATGATGTAGTAAAAAGATCATGGGCTCTGGAACCAAAAAGACCCAGGTTTAAACCCTGCATTACTGGCTATTTGGCCTTAAAAAAAAAATCACTTCTCTGAGCTTTGATTTTCTGATCCATACACCTACCTTACACAAGTTGCTGTGAGGAATGAAATGAAATTAAATGTATAACATGATGCCTAGAAATAGAAGGTGCTCCAAAAATGGCACCTACATTATTATTACTATTTTCATCATCATCATCATCATTGTTGTTATTAGAAACAGCTCAGTGTTCTTACTCCTATTCCCCTACCTTGATCTGGGGTCACCCTTGGATCTTTTTTTTTTCTGCCAAGGGTGGGGGTGGGTGAGTGAGGGGGCAGGTGAGGGAAATTCTCTTTCCAAGTTTGCCGTCCTAATCTTGCTTGTAAAAATGGACTGGATAAGCTAAAAGAAATTTCCCGAGAGCAACCAAACATCATCTTCATGAATTCATGTTACTAATAAAAAGCAATGACTTGTAACAATAATTCATATTACTAAGTAACTATGAAGGGAAATATATCCTAATAAGTTAATAAAGAAATTACTAGAACTTACTAGTAAGCTGATAATTAATGATTACCCAAAAAAAGACACAAAATATACTCTTGACACTATCAAGGAATAACGGCTTCCATAAAATGTTACCTACAAATAATTTCAGTCTTACAAATTTATAGGAAAAACAATCTTTTTAATTGAAATGTTTGTTATATTTATTTGTAACAATGTAATCGTAAAAGGTTTCTATTGTTGTTGTTGTTGGCATAAATCAATCAATCCAATAGATAACATGAACATATACTTTATCATCCAAACCAGAATATCTTTAAGATTGAAAGAAAACATTACTAATCATTATTCCAGGAAAAAAAAAAGACTGGGATATATGGTCACCCTATCAATGATGGTCTGCTCTTTTCATTTCTCTCTCGCAGTCTACATACATTTGGCCTGTACTGGACCATTACTGCTATTATAAAATCTGAAACATCCTAAAAGATCAAGCACCAGGCATTTAGATTTTTTGAGATCAAATTCCAGACTCTCAGTAATACATGTAAGTAACCAATCTATTTAAGTAACTTATCTAATTCTAGGAATTAAGATTAATGAGCTAAAATAATTCATTTCAGCTTGACAAACTCTGAGGTTAAGTCTTATTTTAAAGTGAATACTATGTCTGGTAATGTTTTCTATTAGACCAAAGTTATAGAAAGCATAAGACTGATGGGGGAAACAGTGCTCAAAGTTATTTTAACATATCAGATCTAAAATTAAAGAAATTTTTAATATACATTATTTTTTTAAAAATCCATGCTTCCCATGGAGGGACACTACCTTTTGCTCTAAGTCAAAGAAATATTCCTTTTTTATCTTGCATGAATTCTTATTTACTCTGGACAAATAGAGAAGTTGTTATTTCCAAAGCTGGTTTCTCATCCTCAAAACAAAAGTACTTTTGATTACTTTGGCTCTTCGTGCTCTTTCTAAAATTAAGAATAATCAAAAGAGTAAAATAGTAAATATCTCTTGAGTGTCCTAAGTTGGAGATTCTGACATTCATTGATAACCTGCATTGAATAAGATTAATTATGTGGTTACTAAAATCTGAATAATTCAGACTAACTTCAGAAAACTTGGCTTCTTTACTTGAAATGACTTAATTTAGCTCAATTTTATATAAAGATACATTCTGAAAAAACTCAAACTATTTGAATTATAAAAACTATAAGCTAGTTTATAAGTGATTATACTCAGTTGACTTACAATACTATATTCTCTATAAAGTACAAAAACAATATATTCTAGATTTGTAGAAACATTTGTACATTTATAAAATCCTTAGTTTAAAAGGAAATATTTTATTTAACACATTACATTAATTTACCAAACAGCACTTTTTACAGGTGAAATAAAGACTTAATACCTACCTAATATGCAGAATACATCAGCAAGAATGGAGGGCATATCCTCACGAAATTCCTAATTTTAAAAATATAATTATTCATAATAAATACTAGAGTAACATATCAGCAAGTATGGCTTCAGAATAACATTTCTCAGTAAAACTTAAAAACTAACAAAATCCCAATACCACAGATAAAATTCTTCAAGTTTCGTAACACAGAGAAAATTTTAAAAGGCAGAAAACAGTTGAAAAAAGGTTTAAATGTCTACCACAAAATAACTTGATTTAAAAAATAGAAACCTAAACAAGCACCTCAGGAAATATTAAGAGCAAAAAAGAATAACATTTTTCCAATGAAGTTATATGTTAGAAACCACTGGAATTTTGAGTATCTCACACCTACATAAGGCAAAACTGTTAAAATGGTATATTTTTCATCCAAAACTTTAAATGTTGTGCTCATGCTCAACCCAACACTGAACTGATCTATGCAAAAATTACAGTGGTATCAGACGAACAGAAATCTAAAAAATACAAAAACAATTCTGAAGTGTTGTTCCATAATTCAAGATTCTCTAAATCTAAAGAAGAAAATAATTAGCAAAAATCTATCTTTATTTCCCTTAAGGACTGACGCCTTTGGAGAAACTGACTCAAAATTCTCCCCTCATTTCTGCATGAAAACTTCAGCACATCCCACTCCCATGCCCAATTTTAGAGCCATTTTCTGTTAGTTTGCTGGCACTATTTTCAGAGACTAAAGGAAAGAAATTTAATACTAAAGAACAAACTGGCATCTGTAAGAGAAATGCAAGATGTGCTTCCGTGGGTAAGTATGGGATAGTGAGATCTGGGACTACGAGAAAGCCACGACAAAGACAATCCAGCTGCAGAAATATATGACTATATCACTGAGGACTCAAAGGAAAGTGGAAGGTAAGTAAGAACCAAATACACATTAAGTTCGTTTGGACTATTCATGTTCAATAAATGGGAAAGTATTAGAATCAGATTACATAACATTAAACCCTACCTACATCGATGTCCAATTTATAGAACGAAATAACCTTAACTGTGGACTAGACTTCAGTCTCAAGTTTCTTAAGGACTATGAACTTTGGCTATGTCTACTTGAATGCAAGAACTCAAGATACTTGAAAATCAGAAATAATAGAGCAAGACAAGAGTTTTCAAGCATGGAATATTAGTTGTTTAAGAAACAGGCTACTCCAACATGACTATTGCTGCCGTTATCAGATACAGACAGTTTAGGGATAAAAAAGAAACTCATATTAAACCCCTACTGCTCAAATACATCGCCATAGGTGTTGGGGGCGGGGGGTGGGGTAGGGAGGGAATCACAACAATTAAACATAGAAGTTCTTTAAGACTATCTTCAGGAAATTAGCAACCCTAACAGAAAGAGGCTACAGAAGCTTAAAACAGCACAAGGGAAATTTGTACTAATATGAAGAAACTCCAGGTCCTACATCAGTAATATTTATTATGAAAGCTGTTCGTAACTGGGCAGATCATTTTATTTATACAAGTTTAAAATCCAGCCTAATGATAATAGAATAATACACCACTTGTAAAAACTCAAACTTAACTACTGGTTTACAAAAGACACCCTTAACACCCTTAAAATCTGAGAGCTCGTCTTTCAATTCAAATACCAAACAACGATGAAAAGTATCTGGTTTGAATTTAACTTAAATTATCCAATAAAAGAGTGAAGCAGAATAACCACTTAAAGGTTAAGAAAAAATACAGTTAATATTTTCTAAAACAACCAACAAACACATATTGGCATCAAGTAAACATTAGAGCTGTACAATCTCAATTTAAAATAATTCAATCCTCAATTTAGAAAATAGATTTAATTTCTAAACATAACCAAAAACAAAAGAAAATGCCTTGATATGCTATATTGCTAGAAAAATAGTCTAGCCAAATTATTTTTTATAATAGCATTTTAAATTAACTACACCTTGATTTTATTACAATGAGACTTTATTTTGCCTTCTCAGCTTACCTAACATTTTCTGCTTTACTTACAACCATACAAAAAGATTAAAATATCTTCATTTCTGTCTAGCAACAATGGCTTACCAATATTTCCTTATGACATTCACTACTATAATTTTGAATAAAATGAAATACAAGGTATACGCTTCAAAGATTTTTGTATCTAAGGCAAAAAGAAATATGTAACAATTATTAAATTAAAAAACATATACACATATATTTATATACTTACACTAATGTCATTAAGAACATTAGATGCCTGTTCATGCTTTAGATTTCCTTTAATGACATGGTATGAAAGCTCATAGAGAGCTTGCTGGAAATCTGTTGAATATAAAAGAAAGAGTATAAGGACATTGAACATGAAAGGGAGACCCTCTGGGGAAGACCTATATTATTTCCTACTTCTCAGAATTATTATAAACATCAATAACATAAAAAAATTTTTCTAAAGCTTTACTTTAGCAGGTTTTTTTCCTTTCATTTTCACAAAAAGACAATACGAAAGAAAACAGAAGTTAACCTTGACTCCACTACTATAATGTAACTTTTGCTTGAGCATTTCCTTCCAATCTTCTTTTATACCTCTATATATTTTACATATTTGCATTCATAACATACATCATTTGGTATTCTGATTCCCCTACTTTTAAAAGCATTTTCTCATGCTACCAAAGTCTCCAAAATTATTTTCAATAACTACACAGAACTCTAGCAACTTGATATAAACTGACCATTCCTCCCACCAGCAGATTGTACATGTTTTTCTAAATATATTCAAATTATAGTCAATTCAATCCAGGGCTACATGGACAACAGGTAAGGAATAGCAATAAATATAAAATCAGGTTTTATCCATATCCTGCTGTCAAAGAATTTTCTCTCCAAATCAAAATCTCTTTTCTCCTCTATATTTCTATCAGAATTCAAACTAAAATAATTACATACACACATACATACATAAAAGGGCAGTTCTATGAGAACTATCAACCACAAGTAGTCTCATTCACTACTAATTAGCATAGCCCCCTTTCCTAGAGAAGAAATTATTTTTGGGGGGGGGGAGTGGAATTAATAGTCAGGTGAACACCTCCTTCTAGCCATCTTTTTCTTTAGTTCCATACATTAAAAACTTTACTTCCTTCCTCTCATTAAAAGTAAGAAAACAAATGTCTTAAAATACTAATGTAAAATAAAGCCGATTTATAATCTCCTTTTGAGGGGAATCAAAAATCTTTCAGGGTAAAATATCAAGTAAAAAAAATATTTAAAAATCTTCTCCCTTGATTTGACTACTAGTCACAAAAAAGAAACATAATAGAAACCAAAATTTATATCAATCCCCCTTTGAACGATGAAAATAATATTTTACAATGAAATAAATTTGTCCATTATTTGCTGAAGAAATATAGCAGGATTATCCCAATTCCTTATGAAGATTTAAATGTATTTACCTTTTATTATCTATATTCCACCTTTTTTCACAAATATGCCTTCATTATGCTTATAATAAATTATATAAAAGCTAAAATGCAAAGGAAAAACTTCCTACTTGTTAGTATGGTAGAAATACGGAGTCAATACCATGCTTTTGATTTCTATTAATAAAATTCTTTTACAACAAATAATACTCAAAGTCATCTGGATAAAACTAAGATTTTTTTTGTTTAAGCAATCACTCTTAAGACAAAACAACTGAACATAAACTAAATTCCCATAAGAACATGGGCTCATAGGGGCTGAGGGAATTCTAATCTTAATCACAGAAGGAGATTAAAATAGAGAACAAACGGCCCAGATCATTTTGCTGATACTAAGTAACATAAAAACATTGTAATGTAATCCACAAAGTAGCAAAAACAGTCCCCAATTAACATGTTATTTAAATGCCCATTTAAGTGGTTAGGAACTCCTACTATATTTTATCTATAAAAAAAGACTAGCCCCACAAAATCTTGTAAAATCTATACTAAAGTTGAAAAACTTTACATTTACAATGAGGAGGAAAATTTACAAAGTTTATAATTATACACAAAAAAATAAAAGATTTTATTTTAAGCTAACATTTCAGAAAAAGCAGTTTTAAGAACAGTCACAAAAGGAACTTCTGGAGATTCTTACATGTTCATTGTTGGATGTGAACACTGAAGACACCAGTTTTTGGTTACATTGAATATCATTAGGACTACTCATGTTTATCAGCCATCATTACAATGTTATCTTACTGAGGGAAGGGATTTATAAAAAGAACAAGGTGAAGTAGTGTGTGCAAAGGAAATTGCCTGCCTGAAATGAAATCAGTTCAAGGGAGGGGAAGAAAGGGAAAGGGCAGAGGAAATACTACCCCAACTCAATCTCCCTTAGATAGAACAAAGGAAATTCTGAAGAAACATTAACTTTCCTGCATGGACTACCAACCGGGGCTCTCAAACCAAAGCTTGACTGTTGGCAGATATCAGCCAAAGAGTGTATGTGTTGAGGAAGTAGGCAAGAGCAAGCCAAAGAGAGCACCAGCAATTCAGGCAACGAGACCATCATACTCATAACTACTTTTGGTTTCATAGGTGAATCAGAACAAGCATGCAATGGGATAGTTATTAATGATCCACATAGTCCTCGTTTAAAACTAAAAGAGTAATCAGTCTGTGTTGTGCTATTTATAATTTTTCTGAGAATTCTTTCTCTTATCCACTTAAGGTCTCAATCCCAAACAAGATCAGTTAACTGAAAAGTTAAAAACTTGTTTTAAACATGGGGAAGAAAAAATTAAGTTTCCAAGTGCTTTTAAAAAGGAGTCTTTTATTTTTACTTTCTTACACTTCTGTCAGTCGACTGACTTATTCAAAAAAGAAGACATTATACCAACCTCAAAAACCTTTATGATTGGTCATGCAATTTTATAAGCAGAACGAATTGGAATATTGAGGACTCAGGTCTTATCCAAATGACAGAAAAAAAATGGCTCATTCATTTGTCAAAAACTGCTTTCCACTCAAAACACCAAATTTTCTTTTAAAAGTATATGCTCTCATATTAATATTTAATTTTTGGTAAGACAAAAGTAAATATATCTATAGAAAAACATTCTGTTTTTAATCTACTATTCACAAAGGTGTAATTTAAATAATTACAATGAATTTTATCTAATCATTTTTGGTTTAAAATAGAATACTCGTTATGAATTATTTTTTCCAGATTGAAAAAAAATGTTATAGGTTCTTCACACACTGAAAGCTTTAAATGCTTTAAACTTACTAGATATAATTATTTTTGGTTTTGTCCTTCCTTTTCTAAATCCATATGCCTAATTTTAAATTAATGAATGTTAAATAGTAACAATTTTCAAAATTAAAATAACTAGAAATTTATAACCTGTTTAATTATATAATATTTTACTTAAACCATATTTGTGATATGCAGTAAACAACTCCTTTGCTTTTAATGTTTTCCATGACAACTGCCTTTAACAAGATCCCCAGATACCACCTAAACATAACCAGCTTTAGTAAAAACACTGAGTCTCAGTTTCTGGAAATTTCCCAATGTAAATAACATTACAATAGTTTTTCTTTCCATGCTAGGTTTTCTCTTCTGTTTATGATTGATAACTAGCCTCTGTAATTTTTTAATATAGCTAGCAACTGCTGAAATTTAACTAAATATACCATGTCACAATTATAAAAGCCAAGCAGTATCATGACTATTATAAGGGTCAAATGACATCCTTATACAAAAGATGTACAGTCTTATACAGTTTTAAAGTTAACTATAATATGTTCATATAAAAGCTTCATATAATGTGAGCTATTTATACTTTTTGTTTTTGTTCTAACAATTTCATGGAAAACAAGATATTTATTAATATTGACCAAGCCAAAAAAATAATAGCTATGATACTTTTAAAAGTCTTACCTCTATACGTCGAACTATCATGGCTTTTATTTTCACTGAGGATCCGGCATAAATGCAAACTAGAATAAAACAGAAACAGTCTTCATTAATTTCAAATCCTAACATAGATGATCTTTACAAAGCAAATTATATCAACTAAAAATACTTGGAAATGTATCAGATGTTTAAATCCATTAGTTTAAAATGAGAATAAAACAAACCTAAAAACCCTAATTTGTCAGAACTGGAGGATGCTAGTGAATCAATTCATTATTTTGACAACTGGTAAAATAAAAAATCAAGCACTTATTTTGCCTTCATATATGAACCAACAGTTGATAAGAAATATCTCTGTATTGAGGTATTTCAGCTAATAAAGAATGACAGAATTACAGCATCACCATTTTAAGATTCCTAATATACTGAAAGATCCAGGCATCTATCGATGGCTGTTCATATCACAAGAGACAATCAGACATTATGTGCTTCCTGATCCTAATGGAAGAATACACCATCCACCTATAGGACAATGACCTATTATCTTCAACAAATATATTGCTATGAAAAATAAATGATGAGGGATCCTCAGAGTAAAAAATGCATAACAGATATATCAATCATGAGAGATATATCAATGTGTGGATCCTTACTTGGATTCTGTTTCAAACGAGTATTTTAAAAATTAACTTTTATGAGTCAATTGGAATATTTTATATTCCATCTTTAAGAGATAGATCCAGAAATATTTACAGATAACATGATATTTGCTTCAATACAATGGAGAAATGGGTGGGGTTATAGATGAAACAGGATTGGCCAGCAATTGACAACTATTGAAGCTGGTTAATGATTTCATTGGGCCTATTATACTATTCTACTTTCTTGTCCATTTTAGATTATTTCCAATAATAAAGTTTAAATGCAGAAATTGAATTTTTTTCAAAAAAAAATTGAAAAAAACTTGTACTTTGAATACTTCATTAGATTAATTTAAATATAGCAAAGAAGACTAGATATACAGGCTACAGTGAAAACAGGTATGCTTAACTAGAATGCCAGAAAAGCGAGAGAATGGGACAAAAGCAATATTTGAAGAAATAGTAGTCAAGAATTCAGTTTTTCAGAACTGAAGTGAAATCCACATCTGGGCACATTATAGTAAAGCTACAGAAAACCAAAAACAAAATTCTTTTAAGCAACTAAGAAAAGAAAGAGTATTATCTTAATCACTTCTCAACAAGAACACTGAGTACCAGAAAGAGCTAAAAGATACATTTAAAGGGGTTAAAAAAGTATCTGACAACCTAAAATTCTATACCCAAAAAAACAGAGTTCCAAAGAAAAGCAAAATAAGGACTGAACTTCAAACAATAACTGAGTTCACACACTAAAAGAAAAGCTTAAGGAAATTCTTTAGGCAATAGTAAAATGATCCTAAATAGAATCTGCAGCCAGAAATGACAGGAAAAAAAAGGTATTAAGTATATGGGTAATTCTAAATGACTATTAACTGAATAATAATAATAATAATAATAGTGTCTTGTGGTATTTAAACATGTGCAATGTTAAATATATGGATAAATGGAAAATATTAGAACACATTAAGATTAATGTGGGTTTATCTCAAATACATGAAGTTGATTCAAATTAATTCACCAGATTAAACTGACTTTTTAAAATCACACTATAGTTCAATCGATGTATAAAAGATATTTGATAACATTCAATATCCATTATTGCATTTTAAAAAAAGACTCTTAGAAAAACAGGAATAGAGAGGTACTGTTACGATTTGATAAAGCAGCAATTCTGATAGTATGGTTCACAAACCCTTGATCCCCAAGACACTTTTTGGAGTTCTGCAAGGTCAGAAATATGTTTGTAATAATACTAAGTTTTCATTTACCTTTTTTTGCTATACTGACATTTGCACTAACAGTTCAAAAGCAAAGGAAGACAAATGGCACCTTAGCATGTATCAAGGCAGTAGCACCAAACTAACTCACTTAATTCTTCATAATCAAGAAACTGAAAGAAAGAATAAAGCCGATGTCACGTAAGATGTCACCAAGCAGTTACATTATATTTTTTATGACTGTTCAAAAACAAAAGCCAGTTTCACTTAAGAATGTCTTTGATAGGAGTGACATCAGCAAGATGGCAGCATAGGAAGCCCCAGGCCTTCCTTCCTCCCATAGAAACACTGATTCAAAAACGGTACACATACTAATTCCCTTTATGAGAAATTCAGAAACCACTTAAGAGGCTCCTGTATCCTAGGTGAGCACTAAACCAGCTGCATCAAAGTGGGTAGGAAAATTCATAACACCCTTTCACCATGATCCCTCCTTCTGGCACAGCACCACACAATTGGAAGGAAATTCCAAGCTCCCAAATTCTCCCTGGAGAGAAAAAGAGAAAACTGAACTGTACATCTAACATTCTGACTTGGGGTGGGGGGGCGGGGGACAGGATAGGCGCTGCCTGAGGATCTAGTTTCTTTCTCAAGCATCTTGGAGCACAGACAGAACCTGGCTTACTCTAGGTGCTTAGGGCCTGCTAAACACAAAAAAAAAGAGCTGGGTGGTGAGCTGCAAATCCAGAAAACCCAAAGTACAGCAAAGACCAAGAGAGCTAAGAAACCTCTCCTTCAGGAGAGAAAGAAGACTGGAGTGTGTCCAACATTCCAGCTTTTGGGGGGACTTCCTGAGAGACTAGCCTGACCTAGAGTGCTGACAGTTCTTGGTGTACTCTAGCTGCTTAGACGTCACTAAAAACAAAAAAGAGCTAGGTGATGTAATACAACAGATGGATATCAGAGGATGTAAACGAGTACACGCTTCTGAAAAAAAGAAACTGGAGAATCCCTCTAATCTGGAATCAATACATCTAAGTCTAGAGAAGACATATCTAGAGAAAAGGTTTGAGAGGTAGCCAGAATCTGTAACCAAAATGATTAGTAAAGGCCTTTCCATGTACTAAGCCAGTCCATAAAGACTGGGAGAGAAGTGTTTTCCAAATGCAATGAAACCAACACAAAATTACAAGGAACATAAAGAAACAGAGAAAATTACCCAATTAAAGGAACAGAATAAGTCTCCAGAAACTGACCCTGAAGAATTAGAGGCACATGAATTATCTGACAAAGAATTTAAATTAACCATCATAAAAATGCTCAACGAGCTCAGGAAACTGATGCATGAACGAAATGAGAATTTCAGAAAAAAACATGGAAAATATATTTAAAAATTTAGAACTAAAGAATGTAATAACTGAACTGAAAAATTCACTAGACAGGTTAAACAGGATAGCCACATGCAAAAAAAATGAAACTGGACACTTATACCAAAACACAAATTTGAACTCAAAATGAATTAAGTACATAAACATAAGACCTGAAACTATAAAACCCCAAGAAAAAAAAACTAGGAGGAAAGCTTCATGACATTGATCTTGGCAATAATTTCCTGGATGTGACACCAAAAGCATAGATGACAATAGCAAAATCAGACAAGTGGGACATCAAACTAAAAACTATGTGCTCCGCAAAGGAAACAACAGACTGGAAAGGCAACCTACAGAATTGGAAGAAAATATCTGCAAACCATGTATCTGATAAGGGGTTAATATCCAAAATTTATAAGGAATGTATCTACAACTCAATAACAAAAAGAAAAAAAAAAACCTCATTTAAAAATAGGCAAAGGACTTGAATAGACATTTCTCCAAAGAAAATATACAAATGGCCAATAAGCACATGAAAAGATGCTCAACACCTTAGTCACCTGGGAACT